GGGCAACTTCAGGAGTATTATTATGTATCTATTAAAGTTTCCGTTAGAAAATTTTTCTTGAATACTAGGGTGTTTAGATGGTATCAGCTTAGGATCTAGGAGGGTGTTGTCACCGAACTCTATTTGATCATTAGCTAGTTTGTTATTTAATGAATTTACTTTTCTTTATATTTCCAAAATCTCCTATCGAAATACTTGGAAATAAAAAAAAGCAATTTTAGAATAATCTGTCTCCGTGTACAACAGCCGGGATTTTGATTAAAACCGGATAGTCTAAAGTCTGGTTTATTGGACCTTTTTCTGATAGACATCAAGAGAACCGGACTGTCCAGTCAGAAATTAGACATCTGGCAACTGTCTTTTATTTAAAAAAAATTGATTATCTGAGTGTAAATACTCGGAATGTATTCCAGAAGTTTAAAAAAAATGTCTCATCAATGTTTACGTACATAATGTTGTTTGTTTTGTCATTTTGAAATAAGATGGATTAGTAGGAAGACAAAATGCAACTATACTTTTATATACATTATACAACTTGCTCTATAAATCACAAACGTCGAAGAACACTTGATTTTTGCATATTTAACTACGTGGGATTAAGGAAGTCCATAAAATTGTAAGTTTGGAAATAATCCTTGTGAAAATGGTCATTTGGTACGTTAAAGTGAAAGAAACAATGTCCAGGTATGAAGCAATACGTTGATGTAATTTGATATTAAACAGAACAAGGATTCAGAAGTTGTTGCAAAAATTACATTGTTACTATCGTGGGTTTTTGTGGGTTTAGTTTAAATCCTCTGCACGGAAGAAACAAACGATAATAAATAATTAATCGATTTCTAAGCTGTGATAAAGTACAAAAAGACAACTGTTTCATTGTTTGTTCGTTTTTTGTATCAGAATTGCCATTATTCATTCATTGTTATTGGCATTAAAATTGAGCAGTTTGACGCAATAGTTTTTTCTTTTCTTCCTAATAATAAACATTTCACTTCTCTGCATTATGTCGGGCTTACACATGCGTATGCATTATACTGAAGGTGCTTTTAAAACAATAATAAGTTATTTAATGTCTTTTAAACGTGATGTATGTTAAGGGCCTATGCCTAGATTTTAATTCATCTCATGCATGAACATGAAACTTTATGAAATGCAAACATGATGTATATTAAAAGCTAACGTGGTACGAAAAACTAATTTGCTATACTTATCCATTGCACCTTTAACATTAACGATCCAGTGTTGCCAACATACATACATAATGTGTATTAAAACATCATGCATATGTAAGCCTTCATTGCCTTCACATTTCGCATCCTATCGCAGCAACCGGATGCCTTTTTGGCTATAAATACTGTAATGTACCATCATTGCTTTTTATTGAGTTATTGCGTCAATGATGTAACACTAAAGAACGAATAACTTATGTGAAGTTTGTCGATGGTTAATGAGAGAATGTGCCTGCTGCATGTGTTGTAATCAACCAACACTGACTGATAAAATTTGATATGAAGATGTTGGAAATTTTAATAATAATAATCGTCCTTATGAGTACGACCCAATGAATTTCACTCATCAGGTCTTACGGGAAAGAGTACGAAAAGCCTCTTTGAAAATAGGTTTCATTTTGGATCTCTCTGCATGTTGGTAATACATTTTCATATGTATTTAGGGTAAAGTCCGCCTTTGAGTACAATTATTTAGTGTTAACAAAATACACGATTACAACAGCTGCAATTTAGAAATTTTCATAAAAGTTCTCTTTAACATAATGGTTTCCCAAAAACACACATTTCTTTTAGTTGGCTTAAATTCACTAAATCAGGATTGACATTACATCATCATCACTTCTGATTGAATCATTACTTCAATAATTTAACTGGTGGATAGACAACATATGAAGAAAATCGGTGATTTAATGAGAGAAGGTACACAACTACTTCATGTGTTGCAATCGACCAATAAGGACTGAAAATATTAAATAAAAATAACGGCAATTCTGATAATAATCTAACCACCAATCAAGTATTAACTTCAGTTTATAGTAGTGCAGATAATGACTGCAAAGCTTGAACAAATTATGTTTCAGTTAACGACCAACTAGGTTATGACATTCATAAACAATAAGCGAAGAGCTCTCTGTCCATGGTTATGTAGCGAAACACATGATTTAAATCAATATTAAAATTAATTTTCAATTTATCAAAAACATTAAATAGGTATAAGTAATAATAAGTGAAGCAAGTAAAGTGTTTTACGCTCAGAATTAAAACCGATCACTTACTTAGTAAATACTGGTAGGTAATGTAATTAGTTTAATAGGTTCATCTATTTAACTGCTAATCTCAGATTCTGATCTTGACTGACGGCTGGTGATCAGTTTCTAGAGAGTAACTTATCTCCAAATCTAATCTTCAACCGTCTAGTTTCTGTTTAATCCAGGTTTGTTGATAAAATAAATTAATTGAATCCTTAATTTATAATTTTATTTCTTTAACATCCAAAATTCTACGATGCATAATGATTAGATTTAACCAATTTGATGTAAGCAAATCCCAAACTTTAAAACCGAAGCAGCAATAAAATTGGTGCTTTGTATTGTACCATATAATATTAGTTATACCCTAATCAAGACGGTTTAAAGAAAAAGGTAATCGCTTTTTGATGGTTTCGAAAAGGTTATCATCATCATAAGGTTGTCAGTCCTAAGACTGGTTGGACACGTACCTTCACTCCTTCCTATCCTCAGCTAATATTCGCATTTCCCTAAAACTAGAACATCCAACATCCTATTTGCGAACAGTAATCTAATCTAGGTCTACCTCTATTCTTCTGAACTTCTGTTTCTGCCTCTCTGACTAGACATTCATGCCCAAGAAAGTATCTTACCGACCTATCTCTCCTATTTTTTTATTAACTTCCATAGTCTTCTGTTCTCTTATTCTTTCTAATACCTCTTCATTTCTAACTTTTTCTATCCACGTATCCTCATTATTCGTCTATGACACCACATGACAAACGCTTCTAACCTTCGACCACCGTCCATGTTTCGCACCCGTTTAGCGCCTCGCTCCAAACATACAACAATCTTTTTAACAATCTTTTTTGAATTTCTAAATTAACCGTTCACGAGCATAGAAGTGACTTATTTTTATTAAAGGCGACTCGACCCTGCGCTATCCTCTGCTTTATATCCCTACTACTCCTTCCGCCTTGACTTATTTGATTTCCTAAATACTTAAAATCAGCCACTTCTAATCTTTCGTCCCCTATCTTTACATTCTCTCATTCCCTACTTTTCCCTTGCATACCAATATTTATAGACAATGGTTGTAGATGTCAATAAATTTTCATCCCTTAATTTGATACCTATCGATTTCATACATTTCTACTTTTCATTTCTTCTCTAATTTTAAATATAGTTTATATAGCCTAAATATATTTATTGGGGTATTATGACTCGGCGTCATTATCTGGTACCCAGCCGGATCCTAAAAAAGTGCTGAATCAGCCAGGTACCGGATCTAAACTGCATACCCAACCCATCTCTAGTACAAAGTTAAAATTATTCGTGTTCCATGTTCCAGTGTACTTATTAAAATTTCGTAAAACATCAGATCATACTCTTTTTCTTGAGTATTAAGTACTACTCGATAATTATCAAATTATTCCATCAACACCTTCAAATTTGTGTACCATGTGCATACAGATATATCAATTAAGTGGTTCACAATGAGGTACCTACTTGTCCGGAAGCCAAACCTGCGTCTAGACAATAGTTTACATACCATTAGTACAGGTCATTTAAATTTTGCGTAAGCGCAGTATGTCACTTGTTACGTAATTAAAATATTAACGAAGAATAAAATATTCATTGTTTAATTAATGCCAAAACCAAAAACGCTTAATGTATCTCTAACACATTCATCGCACGCGCTACTCAAATTGCTAGAACCCATACCACAGTCTTTACAATTACTTTTATTATCTCAATGATATTGTGCAATTCATTGAAGAAAACCAATCCAACGGTGAATGTGTGTAATAGTTCTGAGAAATGTAATATTGTGTAAATTTTAAACAAATCTACATATTTCAATTAAAATTTTGGTGATTATGCTTGTGTTTAAATTAGTTTTAACAAAGTTGCTGAAAAAATATTAGAATAGTAATATTTCTTATAGTTATTCGTTACTAAAGTAGTTTGTTTAAAGGGTTTGCGGGCAATAATGTGTTTTTCTTTAAGTTTTTAGGTCGCCATATTCAGGAATAATATTTATTGTATCAAACATTAGGTTTTGATTAGCTGGTGAATGAATAAAAATTGAAATACGTTTGCAGGGATTATCACTATAGATAATTCTATTGGTATTAATTTTAAATCTCCAGCTTAATTAGGTAGAGGTATAAATTATAAGAATGGTAAAGGTGTTTGAATTTACCCGCCCGTTAGTTTAATATCGAATATAGGTTAATGTAAATAGATAGAATAATGCAAAGTAGGTTTTACTGTATAAAATATCAAAAATGGTCCCAATAAATGTTGTCAGATTTTTTAATAATGTTTAAACATTACAATTTGCAATTTCGTCTCGTTTTTCGCATTTGTATCGAAAATAATCACAGTAATTATAATTCTTCTTGAAATATGTTGAGAATTGTAAAGTCTTTAAGATATTTAAAACATAATCATCAGAGCTATTTTCAAACGTATTATCAAAGCTTAAAAATCAAAGAACAGAATGTATACCTCACTTTTTTTCTTAAATGCTCATATACTATCAAAAAACGCACGTAGATAATGCTCCTTGATCCTAGCGCTTACAAAAAGCAGCGGCAGTGGAGAATCTCTTGTTAAAAAATTTTACCGAGATTAAATACCTGCTATAATGACGTAACTAATACAGGACTAATATTCTTTTTTCAAATAATAAACTTGTACTTATAGCAAAAGGAAAAAGAAGAACGAAAAGTTAATGCATCATTTCTTTTTGTTTCAGAATGATTACTTAAAAATATGACTTCCAAAGAATCCGAGTGTCGGCTAATGCTATGCCATTGTTTGGCAATAATTATGCGAAAGGAGGGCTGCCAAAGCGACCCTGGTGACTTTTGGATGTATGAAAGTGGTTACCTTCTTTTTCAGGTAAATTAATGTACACTTTTAAAAGAATATACACGAAAATATAGTTTATATTTTCAAATATATATACCTAATGTGTGGGAGTCACATTTGATCGGTAAGCTTTTAATAACGAAAATAACATTTTCGTAGTTTACCCCTTGCATTTTTTACATTAGTTTCAAGTAGATTGTCATGTATATGATAGTTATAAAAATGCAAGGGGTAAACTACTATGATGTAATATAAGTTTATACTAATAACTGTATCTTATGTAATAAAGTGCCGGAAGAACGTAAAAGTAGTTTTTTCTAATGTTACAAATTACCAAGATATGGATATGTAATCAAAACTCGAACTTTTTAACTTATGTTTATAGCCCGAAAACAAAAGACGATAACAACTTTTTGAAAACAGTAATAAAATTTCAAAAAAAGAGACCGAAAAGCCGCTATTAAGCTTTATGTATCTATTACAGTTACCGAGTTGTCCTACACAAACTTTGTTTTGTCCACCCTGTACATATGTGTAACAAGTTATTACAATTTCTTGCTCACCACTCGTAATTTATTGTTTTTATGAGCTGTCGGACTAACAAATTTTCAAATAAATAAAAATACAATAAGTATAGTTATTTAAAGGACTCGACTTACATATGTCTGCGAAGAGGTGCACTGCAGAACACCAAATTAATGTTCCTGAAAATAAGACCAGATTAGTATAACAAGTAAACTGAAAAACATCCGCACAATTTTAAGAAACAAAATTTATAACTTATGTACTATTAATATTTTTCTTAATTAGGGTCTCCTGGCAGCTAATTCCGTTTGTTGGTGGAATCACGCACTACAAGGAGCAGTAAAGGGTTTGACATACAAAGGATACGTTAGTCCTGGAGCCCTTTTGGTGGGCTCAGATCCATGTGCCTTAGAGGTGCTGCGATCCGCATGGGCGCGAAGGGTGCTTCAACCACCAGCTGGTTATCAAATAGTGGGGCTTGGTAAAAAATCTTTAATTCTTACAGCACTTTAGGAATTGTGTTTCTATTTCATCATTCTAGTTTGTTTGATAAATATTGAATATCAGAGGTACAAACATGCTAAAATATGTTTTTTGTTTGTTTAGAGGAAATTGAAGATTTTCAAGTCAGCAAGGTAACACAAACTCAATGGACTCCATTAACGGAAGCTGTTTGCTCTGTTGTTTTACGACTTTCCAGCCAAGGACGCCCAGCAGGATTGGAATCGATCAGAGAATGTCTGATATTAGCTTTTCCACACGTATCTCCACCCACAGAGGAAATGATTTATGATACCTTAGTTCAGCTCATGGCCGAACGAAAACTATACAACACATCCAAGGGTTACTTTATCGTAACTCCAGAGTAAGTCTCAAATAAGTGTCTAATTGCGTAAGAAAGTGTTAGGTCTCAATACAATCAACAAGACGATATTCTTTTTAAAACTTAAAAGATTTAGAAAATACCACAAATGGCGCAGTAAACGCCATCTGTAGTACGATGCTACATTTTAGGATTACGTATGCTCCAACAAGGTCCAGAATACAGACCACTTCGAATTATTTTATTAAATTATGGTAACGTGCCTATCACGTTGAGGTTAGCTACGCCGGGATTCGTTTCAGCAAGTAGATATCCATATATTTAAATGGACCTTGTTGGAGCATACGTAATCCTAAAATGTAGCATCGTACTACAGATGGCGTTTACCGCGCCATTTGTGGTATTTTCTAAAACGCGCTGTTAAGACAGCAGGTAAAAGTTGGTCTGTGTTCTGTCGGAGCTGTCTGCGACGCGCTGATGAGATCCAAAAAGATCGAAATCGCGATCCGCGTCTGGCAGTTTTGGCAGAATACAGACCACTTCGAATTATTTTATTAAAATATTTAAATGACAACATGGAAAATCATATAATTCCGTTTGTAGAAGACGTAGATCCAGAAGTCATTCCCATGGAAGAAAAAAGACAGCAGATGGAATAAACGGAAAACAAATACTAATGTCAAATGAAGAAGCCCTTATTTATGTTCACGGTGAAATAGCTACCATACGGGATGGTGACGTAACCCATCAATGCATCCAAACGAATTTGGCCGACGTTATATGTGGAGGTAACAACAATTTAAAACCTACTGTAATAATGTCTAAGGAAGATTTTCCATGTCTGAATTCGTTATTACAGGAAACTCCAGTGACAAGGTTATATATCCTCAAACAAGCAAGCGAAGATCGGCATCTTTTCCCGTCCAAAAAAGTCCAGACCGAAGGAACTCGTTTAAACTTTGGAGTTCGTCCAGGAGATTGCGAAGATCTGCTTCGACGCGTACCATTGCAAGAAATTGTACAGACAGTGGAAGTAGTACCGATTATCCCAACAGTAGTAGCGATTCCGCTCAAACACCGAGTAAGAAACCAGGATCCTTCTGGATAATATGCAATAAATTTCATTTCATTCTATTTCTAGAGAAACAATCCCTAATCTCAAGGATTTTCCGCCGTTCTAAAAGGTCCCACAGTCAGATGAATTCTTTAAATGCCCAGTTTCCACCAACAGAATGGTTCAACTCAAAAACGATTCATCTTCATTGTGTAGGAACCCAAACGTCTTTTGGAAAAAATGTATTCCTCATTTTGAATATCTGTAGTAAAATTCATTATACAATGTCTGTTTCTTGTTTTAGGATGAATTGTTAACTGACACTTACAAGATACCCAGTTCAGACTTAAGCTTTAGTAGATCAGCAACTTTACCACGAAGACATCGTCATATATCAAACGATTCGGAAGCAGTTGGTTCGTTCCCTGGATCAAGAGACCATTCGCCAAAACACAGTAGTCCTTCCCGAACGTCCACCCTTCTGCCCCAGAATGGACTAAAAGTTCCATCGTTAAGGACTATTCGCAAGAATAGTCGTTCCAGTTTATCACCAAAAACCTTCACACCAGTCAACGGCAACTCTGCCACCGACATATCAGACGGTCAAAAACACGCCAACGAAAGCATAACAGACGTCACAAAAGCGTCTAGTGCAGAATCAATAAAAACTAGTCACGTTAGAAAAAATTCACGCACATTGCAAAGACACGATGCACTTGATGGATCAAAAGACGAAAACGAGTACGACAAATTCCACTTGCAAGCAAAAAGTTCGGACACAAAGAGTTCTGTCAGTGTCGACAACAGTGGACCTTCTAGTATAGAATCGCAAAAGAGCGAAAGAACCGGAAGTTCCTTAACTAGCGGTCCATCCAGTTTAGAATCGAACCGAACAGTTATTAAGAAAAACACAAGCACGCCACTTCATTCTTGCAGAAAAACATCGACCAAAAGTAAGGAATCTACCCCTAAAAGAACACCAGAACATAAAGCCAAACTAACACAAAGTAATTCATTTACTTTACAAGTTACTACTAACCAACTGGCTGGTAATACAAAGTCTGGAAGTAAAGCTACAACAACCGCGACCATCAACAGTGGCAGCGGAACTAATGCGAAAATATATGTCCAAAATTCACCAGTAAGATCTGTAATCACATTTGAAAACGGTCAAAATAATGACTCGAATTTGGTCATCATCAGTGAAAAAGATCTTAATACAAAGACCACCCAGTCTCAAAATGGATCTGAAAACGAAGAACAAGAGCAAGACAAATCCAAAAGAGCGTTTGTCAAGAACACGAACTCATTACAAACGAAAGACGAAAATCCCAACAGTTTAAACAACTCCAAAGATCTTGTCATCGGCTCCGACCAATGGAAGGCCGATATCAAAAACGAAGCGATGAACAACAATAGAAAATTATCGTTACAACTCTCCCCTAAAGAAAGCCTCAGCTACTACAACATGATCAAAAATGTCTCGTCTAGTACGAATAAGAAAAATTCCTGCAATTCAAATCCTGAATCTCCAAAATGTAATTCCTTCATTCCCACAGGTGAAATTCCGAGCCCCACGAAGAGTTGTGACAATATCTCGACATTCAATGACGTCTTTATACGAAATATGTCCGAATCTAAAAGTACCCATGCTAATAATTGTATGGAGAAAAACATATTAGGATCAGAACCTAACATTAGTTGTAAGATACAGGACTACAGGGACAAAGGATTTACTAGAGAACTTGGTCAGGAACAAGAGTTTCCCAGCTTGACTGACTTAAGCTTTAACTTTACTAGTTTAGCAGCACAAAAGATTCTAAAAGGGGTCAGTATAAATAGCATAGATACATTAGTAGAACTTAACACGGCATCCAGTGATAAACCAAACAACTACGATGTAGTGCACACAGATTTTGGATTGGTATGAATTGGAAGGTACACACGACTGAGCCACGTTCTTATATCAACTTTTGAAAATGGTGAAAGTTGAAATTTAGGTAAACAAGAAACTCAGTTGAACAGCAATGATTAAATAAATGTTCGTTTATATTGTACAGATGTAATAGATGAATGTATGGTGCCATTTACAAATACTATTATCCACACGTATTCAGGAAATCTGAGTTAAGTTCCTGTAGTTGCCATTTTTGTAAATTTTTATGTAAAATAAACAATAACACTGTATGTATATTAACAAATTGGGTTTTTATTCAATGTCCTTCATCCCTATCAGAAACATCACCATCATAAGGTCGTCAATCCTAAGACAGGCTAGACACGCACCTCCACTCCTTCCTATCCTGAACAAATCTTCGCATTTCTTTAAAAATAGAACATCCCACTTCCTTAACTACTGGCGAATAGTAATCTAATCTAGGTCTACCTCCACTCCTCTTAACTCCTGTTTGTGCCTCTAATATGTCTCTGACTAGACCTTCCTGCATGAGAAGATGTCCTACCAACCTATCTCGCCTATTATTGACTTGCATAGAGTCCTCTGTTCTCTTATTCTTTCTAATACCTCTTCATTTCTAATCTTCTTTATCCTCGGTATCAAAAATATACTGATATAAAAATTAATTCCTTTTGACAAAATCATGCCTAGATTTTCAGATGGTACAGCAAGAACGATTTAGAGATAGATTCAAATAAAATGAAAGTGGTATTAACACAAAAGTATGGTACGATAATTAGTAGTGATAAAACAAAAATACAGGTAAGGGATGTAAATGTAGGGTTAGAGCAAATAAAAGCAGGAGACGAAAAATCACATGAAGTCGCAGATTTAAGAAATCAGATGACAGGAAGGAAAAAGCAGTGGAGATATAAATAAAACAAATTAAAAGTGCAGAATTCGGTTGTTTAGGGCAAGGATAGCCAAAATGTATTTATTTTATAACGGCCGACTTAGTAAAGACAAATGTATTAAGAAACCGATGTGTCTATTAACCGATACCTCACCGGTACTGTACCGGATTCTGCGAAGCTAGAAAGAATGCATTATTGATGCTGTAAGTTGCACTGGTTTTGAATTAGAAGATTAAATTCAAACTTCATGTTTTTTAAATAATTAAATTTAATAATGATTACATTAAATGTTAAATTTAGTTTAGCTTTAATTTTTGAATTTTATACCCCTGTTCATTAAGTGGAAATTGTAAGTTCGATTTTCAAAGTCTGAATGCATTACGCTCATTAGTCTTATAAGCCTATCTAGCCATGTAAAAAGATGTTCTATTGAAAACTAAAAGCACAACATTTGGGTACCAGTGAATAGCTTCTTAGTTACCGATACATTATTTGTGCATCATATACTCAAAAATTAATTGTAGAAATTATGAGAAAAAAATACCTTTGATTTTAAAACAATTTAATATGAATATATAACAAATATTGTCTAATTTATTAATGAGTCATTAGTTCATAAAAAATCTATCGCGTGTCTAAATCTAATGAGGAGATATATAATTCGATATGCGGCCCGAGGTGTTATGGTTTATTTCCAAAATGGCCTACAAGATCATTTGGATTGGCCACCCCTGACAGAAAAATCACTTTTGTACCTACTTGCGATAAGCTAATTTGAAAATTCTTATCAGATTATTAAAAGTGTATGTTTGGAACACAATTCTCTGTGGAGGTGTGAAAACATGAACGATGTGCTTTGTGGAAGAGAAAAAGTTTGAAGCATATGACGTTACCAAAGGATATTAAAAATACCGTGGATAAAAGAAACGTGTCAATGAACAGATACTAGAAAAAGTAGAAAAGAGGGCGCTGCGGAAGTAAATAATAGGCGAGGTAGGTATGAAGGGCTAGTTAAATACATTTCAGAAGCAAAAAAATGAGTTATGATGGGCAGAAGTAGACCTACAATAGATTATTTCTCGCAAATGGTTAGAAATGTAAGTTTGTTCTAGTTTTTGAAGAATGTAAAGAAAGACATTATCTTAGAAAAAAAGGGACTAGTCTGGACTGGAGATTACACTGATTCAAATTTTTATACATTTCTTTTAAGCAGGTTTAGTAGTTGTAAGTACATATGCGTCCATGCAATGTTTCACTAGTAAAAAATGTTCAAGGTGGGCTACCCCTGCTCTAAAAAAACCAATTTTGCACTAATCTTTGGTTTATTTATATCTCTACTACTTTTTCTTTCCTTATAGACATATTCGTCTATATTTCGTGAACAAAAGAAACTTACACTAGTAGAGTCACGCTCATTGAAAAGATAACACTCCCAAAGTATAGAAAACATGGTTTCCAATATTGTAACCGTAAAATTAAAATATTCCTAAACTTTGAAAACTGAATAAATTAATGAAGTGTTATCCTGGAAAAACATGAGAATTTTTTATAGAAAAAATCATGCCCTCTTCCTGTAAGTTTTCTTGTTCACGAGATACAGACGTAAATGTCTTTCCATGATTCTCTCATGGATAACTGAAAAGCCCAATAAGAGTATTTAGACCATGCTTCATATAAGTCTGACCACAATTAAGTGTTCTTGTACAAACTATGCCACCCCTTTATCCCTTTTGGAGTTCAATTTCGAAATATCCCTCCTTATTCGTTGTATATATCATAACGTAAAAACCTAATGAGGGTTTAGCCTGGGCGCTGATGAGTCAGTGAGTCAGGAACTTTCCTTTTATATTTATAAATAGATAAACAAAACAACGTTTACGATAAACGTATTATTGGAGTATCTTTAATTCTGTTTTAATCCCTTTAAAAACAATCTAGTTTTCACGTTATACCTAGTTGGTAAAATAATAAAAATAATAGATGATTTCTGTCTAAGGTTTTAGTCAAAACACCGTTGTATATAATAATACAATAGTTTTTGTTTTTTGATAAAGATGTACCCACAAGAGATTTAGTTATTTATACTTATTAATCCATAGAAACGCATTATCATACTCTACACACTATTCAAATTCAGTTTAAATTGACTTATCATAAGTACTTAGTACATATACTCAAACAAATTTGGCAACTGAGCCTTAAAGAGTAAGTAATATATAAGTACCTACTCGATGATGATCAGTGATCACAGAACAGTACAATAATTTTGGAGGTAGTCTTAACGATAAGTAGAAATTTTAAATTAAATAATATATCGAATGATAACATGCTAAAATATTTACAATATTTTACGCATAGACATCTACTTATTGTAAATACATACCTACACTTACGTACATAAGTTGCCATTTTAGTCCACATATATTTTTTAAATAATCAGAAATGCCTACTTAGTGTAAGCAATAACGTTTGCTGAATGTTATTAAACAGCATTAAGTAAGTGAAAACCATGAGTAAAACTAACTTATTTAATCGTTATTTACCTATACATTATACAATTAATGTACATATCTATAATTTGGTACCTTCTACAAGTACCTTGTACCATCTGTTATACATTCATGTAAATACAGTCTTATTATAAGTTGAGTAAGAATGAATAATCTTACCATCATTTCTAAGATTCTACGTATTTCTGGAAACGCCACTAACATCTTCTCACCGTACCGATACATCTCGCAATGCAGAAACATGGCTGCAAGCACGAGGCTTTGCAAGATGACGCAGCGCCGGCAAACATGAAGTAGAAGGGGTATCAGCAACAGGCACCATGCGTAGGCAATGTAATGCTGCCAAATTTGTTACTAAGTTATGGCATTGTTGAAATATGTATTTATCCTTGCAATTAATAATTAAGTATTAATTACACCCATGTCTATCTTTGCAAATACGGGAAAATATCAATTTTTTAAAAAATTAAGTCAAACGCATTAGCATTACAAAACGGCAGAAATATTACCAAAGAAGTTTTTTTCAACAATTAGCTGAATGTGTATGGTATAAACTAGAAGCAAAAAATATCATCTGGTTAGAATTTACCTAACAAAACGTTTCACTTCGAATTTGGAAGCATAGTATTTCGAAAAATTATTGTAGCTTGACGTTTCATCAACCAACTCGAATTGTTAGCATCTTCGGGAATTACACACAAATACTTTAGTGTCAAAGTATGACAACGAAAACCTTAACGAAGTATCTATTCTTCCTAACAACGCAACGTTTCGAATTAACCTGTATATTTTTTTAATGAAATCAATTATAAGAGTTTATAGTATGTGTAGAAATCTATTATTATTAAAAAAGAGTCAGTCCAATAAATTAATTGTTTTCGTTCCAAGTTTTTGGTTTCGTCTTTTAATCTTTTATCGGATCACTTAAAAGCCCAGCGGATAAGAAGCGTCTAAACGTTTGGTAGAGGTAGTTCAAAATCTCATGAAGCTTAACCTTCGATTGCGCAATGGCAAAACTCCGCCCGTTCATTGTACAAACGGTCAAATGTTTTCGTAATGCAGAATATGAACGCAATAAGGTCTGCCACTTTCGCATAGTATGGATCATGAGATTTTGAACGAACTGTACTTAAATACTTACATAATATTAAACACAGCGGTGAAACCTGAAATAAGAATTTGGGCACAACTCCTTAAAGTGTATGCACTAAATTGAATTAAAGGGTGTTATCTTATCATTTAATAATAATTATTATTACAGTAAATTATATGCGTACACTTAATAAAGTCATATTTACAAAAAAAAAGAAAGGGTTTCCGTCGCTTATAATGCTATTGGCACAAAAACAATTATGTGACTAGCAAAAAAATTAATTTATCATCAGACGGAGTCAGAAATTAAATATTGGTGTTTCCTATGAGCTAATGTACACTTGCATGGTAGTTTTCTCTTAATATACATTATGTACAATAGTAACTATAATAAAAATAATAATAATAATCATATAATTAATTTTGTTGACCTGCGCTTAAACAATGTTGACATTGCTGATGATATTTTGTTCGTTTTCATTTTACTTTTACCACGAAATAACAATAATTATTAAAACAAAAAACAATCACTACTATTGGAGTTTGTTATTAAACGGTTTTGGTTTTGTTCCTATTGTGTTTTCGATCCATGTACCAATTTCACCGGACGTGCTTGTGAACAACGAAGGACGATGGAACTTTTGACAGTTTCCGTCAAGACTCAACAAACCCCGAAGTTCCCAATTTTGGGATGACTCTGAGAAACACATCAATGGAGCACCTTGATCGTCCTGGAATGGAGAAATATTAATACATACAATGAAATAGTTTAAAATGGAGAATGGGGGTGCAAAAATTGACTATTTATGAGTCTTTTTCTGCATGTTTATATTTGGTTCCATGATTTTTCATCCCCCGACATAATATCACCGGACAAAATATCCCCGACAAAATATCCCCGGACAAAATATCCCCGTGACAAAATGTCCCCGTGACAATATATCTCCAGACTAAATATCCCTAGACAAAATATCCCCCCACCCTAAAAATCGCTATAAGAAATTTTTTCCAATATTTTATTCAACCTAACCTAACCTAACCCTGTCAAACTTGCGCCATGCTACCTTGCCGTACGTTCCCTTCCTTACCAACCACACCTCACATGATCAAACATAATACAATCCAACCCAAGTCAATCCAGCGCAACCTAACCTAACCCAACCTAACCTAACCTAACC